CGAGGTTTACACTGTAAAATGGAAGGTTGCCATGTCTGACAGCGACTGATAGACTGGCGACTGGCCAGCGACAACAGTAGGTTGTTGTGCTTGTGATCGTTTGGGTCTGGTGACAGGCAGGTTATACATGTGCTTCGGTCAAACGTCAACGTGTAAGCAGCGCGTAATTGCATCTCACATCCTGCGCACGCTGCATCGCTCCACCGCCGAGTTGTAGGTGGAGCGATAACTGTCGAAGTCAACGTACATGATTCGATTGGATCAGTCGCGCTGCGCGCGGGTAGGTGGTGCCGCGGGTAGGTGGCCGGGTCGCGGGTAAAGTGGCGCCGCGTAGGTGGCGCACCGCGGGGTAGGTGGCGCCGGCGAGCGTAAGAGGATGTGTTAATGATGTGGCCTGCTGTTGCAGCGCATGTTTGCAACGGCAACTGTGCGTCTCTTCACCACACGAGTGTTCTCGACCAGTATGCCGCAGCAACAGTTCTCATTAACAGCATCGCACGCGCCAAGAGGAGAGCTGTTCCAGAACGAAATACCAGCACCCGGTGATGGCATCCGCGAATGCGTCGCACACGAGCGACGACGGACGATGCATCAACCTGCTGACGCTCGAGAAGAAGAAAACGAGGCCATTTGCTGATTTATGGATTGCGAGCGATACGATATTCACGACGTGTTAGGTAAGGTGCAGTGAAGCGGTAAAACTTGTTAACCGCTCGGAGGTGGTTCGTGTCCGGTGTTCGCGTCCCGGTCTCGCGCGATAGATTTGTTACTCTCGTGATCAGCCCCGCGTCACCGCCCCAAGTTTTACTGTTATGTAGTGTCAGTGTGTGTTAACCTGTGAAAGCTGCCCTAGACTTTGCAGCTACTTGAGTTACATGTATAAGAGTGTAGATATCTTTACCTGCCCACCTCTTCAGCATCCGTTGCGACCTTCTCATCACGTACGTAAATCTTTCTCAACACTTCATCTTCATGACTCACCTGTCCAACTATGGCACCGAACCCGGCTTCGCTCTAGCACAGTTTGAGAGCGCGTGAAAGTTCACAAACAGTACTGGACCAACCTCCAGCTGAAGACAAGAGACTATTCACAGAATAGCTTTGAACGCCTACTTCAAAAGATGTACCCGGAGAGGGATGACCGCCGTCTGGCAAAGGTACTGTATACGCGTATACTTTTAGTGGGTTATAATTTTCGCAGAATATTCACGGAAATATAACACCACGTGAATTTCATTCATCACCGAATAAATTAATTAATTCACGCGACCGCCACATTAAGCCACTCGCGAATTGTCCATTAAGTCTGAATTCGCAAAAATATCTGTAAACGCGAAAAATAAGCCGTATACAGTATGGTGTGGTGTCCCATCTCTACACCCCCTCCTGCCCGCATAAGGCTAAATATGCATACCTCCACCTCTGATAACACGTGGCGCCTCCTATTCCCTCTTCAGGCTAATTGGTGTCGACAACATAGAGAGGCGTCCATAGGCTGGCAGCGCCTGAATAAGCATCGAACAGAAATTAAAATTAAAAATCTCCGCACTGTTTCGATCAGCATACACTTTTATTCAATGTTAAATAACCTACAGATTGCAATGCTCTAGTGCCTCCGCTTGAAACGTTGCCAGCTCTAGATGGCGAATTTCTACAAATGAGTCCAGATCACTATTTCAAACACAAAAATGACGCAACTGGGTCCCCCACACTGACGAAACTGTCACAGCCACACGAGCAAGACCATTTTACTTCCTAATGATTTCTAGAACTCATCATGAGGCAGCTAACCGTGTGCATAAATCAACACAAAGAGTGCACTCTAGTGGCCGAATTCACAAGAAAAATAAAATCTCAAAAGGCCTTTTCTAGAGACCAAAATAAGTGCAATGGTGAACAATTGCAAAGGCTTAAATGCACCGCTAATCATGCCTCTCCACACACACTTACGTGGACGCCCGCTCTCACCGTGCACTTAAGACAACAAGCACCACACAAATATGAAACAGCAACAACACTATAGAGAGAGTAACTAAATGGACCCCCGAAGGACTCATCACTACATAGAATCACTTAAAAAGACATAAACAAACATAGCCTCCATCCACACACATCAACTAGAGTAACAAGTGACGAACCACAACATCACACCCTCTCAAGCTAACATGCCACTACAGATAAACACAAAACACCTGAATAAACATAGCTGAGCACCCAGCTAATCTACCCTCACTTCAAAGACATAACATGACAGCACTCAATCACACAAGAGGAACAACAAAACAAATCGTACAATGTGGACAAGCCACGCTCATCACACACACACTCATAGTCAAGCTAAACAATACAACCTCTGAACAAAAACACACACTGTTACTACATGCTGTGGCGCCCCAGGGCTCTCCCTCTCAAACAAAGTGCCCTCATGCACACACACAGTACAACATTTAGGCACACAGGGCCGCTCTCGGCCTCTTCAGCTAACATCCCTCTCCACACACCACTGTACAATGTCGCTCGCTCTCCCCTCTTCAAGCTAAAACATGCCGGCTTCTCCACACCTCACTGTATCCATGGGCGCCCGCTCTCCCCTCTTCAAGTAACATGCCCTCTGCACCACTCCACTGTAACACATGGACACCGCTCTCCCCTCTCTCAAGCAACATGCCCGTCTCCAACAACATGTACACATGGCACCCCGCTCTCCCCCTCTTCAAAACCTAACATGTCCCTCTGCACACTCACTGTACATTGTGCGCGCCGTCTCTCCTCTTCAAGCTAACATGGCCCTCCCACACACCACTGTACACATGGCACCTCGCTCCCCCTCTTCTAATCTAACATCGCCGCCTCTGCACACACACTGATACACATGGCACCCACCGCGCTCCCTCTTCAAGCACTAACATCCCCCTCCACACAACCACGTACACCATGCACCGCAGCTTACTCACACGAGCCCTCCTTCAAGCTAACATTGCGCCTCCTGCACAAACTCGCAACTGTACCATCGTGGCGCCGCGCTCACTCCGCTCTTCGAAGCTAACACATGCCCCTCTCCCACACTCAACTGCTGATATCAATCCGTGCAACGAACAAGCCGGCACCGCGGGACATGCTGGGGCGGCGCGAACACAGACGTGCATATCGTCCTGCCAGAACTTCATTGTGAATTGGACCTGCAAGAAAAACTGTCAGCTCGCTCGCGTGTGCTGATTGGTCGTGATATAGAATAGTCGGAAGAGTAATACCTATGAAAGCGGAACACCATGTTTGAATATAATTTACAGCAATAGACGACTAATGAGCTAAAACCGATTCTGGTAACAAGGATGGGCGAATAATAAAGGTACGAAATAAGCTCAAGAACATAAAAATTAACGATTTTTTTATAATATATATATATATTAGTATAAACCGTATTGCCACACCATGACTGGCCCGACGTGTTCTTCTCTCAGGCACGACTGGCTGTACACATCTTCTCGTTCAGCCGCCGACTACTAACTCAGCACTCTAACCATGACTCGCGTTCGACAGACAGCTGCAATTTCAAACGCCAACCAACTAACTCACAAGGTGCCGATGTAAGCCATCGTTCTTCTAGAGTCGACAATACCGCAAGCGACCATCACCAGCGCCGCGGCGTACAATTCCCCATGCCGGCTGACCCCTAGATGTATATACACTCTTCCCCTAAGTGTAACATGACCTGACTGCGTATCAAACCTTACCTAATGCTGTAATGACTGATGTCATTAAACCTCATTACACCCTCACATGTTAATGACTTGCCCATCGTACTCTAAACCGTACCCCTAGATGTTAATGACTATCTATTCAAACCGTTACCACTAATGTAATGACTGACATGTTATGTAAACTCTTACCCTTATCTTAATACGAATGTAAATTAAACCTCTACACTCAATGTTAATGACTGATGTATTTAAAACTTACCTAATGTTAATGACCTGATGTATTAAAACCATTACCCTAATGCTTAATGACTTGATTGTATTAAAGTCGCTTACCCTAATGTTAATGATCTGAATGTATCTAAACCTTACCCTTGTTAACTGACGAGAAACCTACCCCAAAATGATTAATGAGACTGAATTATTAAACTCTTACCTAATGTTAATGCGACATGATTATTAGGGTAAGGTTTAATACATCAGTCATTAACATTAGGGTAAGGTTTAATACATCAGTCATTAACATTAGGGTAAGGTTTAATACATTAGGGGTCGCCGGCATGAATTGTACGCCGCGGCGCGTGATGTCGCTGCGGATTTGCTCGACTCTAACAAATGATGGCTTACCAGTCCAATCCCCTGTAGTAGTTGTTGCCGTTGAAAAATTGCACTTCTTCGAACGTCGAGTCACTGTTAGAGTTGCTCATTATAGACGGGTGCATAGACAGAAATGTGTACAGCGCAGTCGTGCCTGAGAGAAAACAGTCGGCAGTCAATATCTGCATTATATATATATATAACAAAATCTATATGTTCTTGAGCTTATGTTCTAGCCTTTATTATTCGCCATCCTTGGTACAGGAAATGCGTTTATAGCTATCAATGTCGATTGCTGTAAATTATTATCAAACAATGGTGTTTTGCTGCTCAGTAGGACTTCATCTTCCCTAATCTTAATCACGCGACCAATGTGGTCAGCAACCGAACGCGAGCGACTCACCAGTTTTCTGAGGTCCAATCACAAGGAAGTTCGGCAGACGATTGCACGTCTTGTTCGGCGCCCAGATATCCCGGTGCCGCTTGTCGTTGCACGGATTCTACAGCAGTGAGTGTGGAGAGGGCATGTAGCTTGAGAGGGGAGAGCGCGCGGCCGCCACATGTACAGTGTGTGTGCAGAGGGCATGTTAGCTTGAAGAGGGGAGAGCGGGTGCCATGTGTACAGTGTGTGTGGAGAGGGCATGTTAGCTTGAAGAGGGGAGAGCGGGTGCCATGTGTACAGTGTGTGTGCAGAGCGATGTTTACGCTTGAAGAGGGAAGCGGTGCACATGTGTACAGATGTGGATGGAAGGGCATGTTAACTTGAAGAGGGCAGACGCCGGCGCCACAATGATACATGAGTGTGCCAAGGGCATTTAGCTTGAAAGGGAGAGGCAGGTGGCCATGTTACAGTGTGTGTGGAGAGGGCATGTTAGCTTGAAGAGGGGAGAGCGGGTGCCATGTGTACCAGGTGTGTGCAGAGGGCATGTTAGCTTGAAGAGGGGAGAGCGGGCGCCACATGTACAGTGAGTGTGCAGAGGGCATGTTAGCTTGAAGAGGGGAGAGCGGGCGCCACATGTCAACACGTGTTAGTGAGAGGGCATGTTAGCTTGAAGAGCGGGAAGCGGGTGGCCATGTTTACTGTGTCGTGTGCAGAGGGGCATTTTACGCTTGAAGAAGGGAGAGCGGCGCCACATGTATTAGTGTGTGTGCAGACGGACATGTGTAGCTGAAGAGGGAGAGCGGGCGCCACATGTACAGTGTGTGTCCGCAGACGCGGCCATGTTACGGGTTGAAGATGGGAGAGCGTGGCGCCCACAGTACAGATCGTGGTTGCAGAGGGTGCATGTAGCTAAGAGGGAGAAGCGGGCCGACCACATCGTACAGTGAGTGTGGAGAGGGCCATTGTTAAGCGTGAAGCAAGGAACGGCGCCACAAATGTAACAGCTAGTGTGTGCAGAGGCATGGTTACATTGAAGGGGAGAGCGGGCGGCGCCAACATTACAGTGTGTGTGGAGAGGGCATGTTAGGGTGCATACAACAGTAAGCCTTTGCAAATTGTTCACCATTGCACTATTTGGTCTCTAGAAAAGGCCTTTTTTGGATTTTTTTTCCGGTGAAATTCGCCACTAGAGTGCACTCTTTTGCATTATGCACACAAGTTAGATGCCTCATAGACGTCTAAAAATCATTAGAAGTAAAATTGGTCTTGTCGTGTGGCTGTGACATTCCGTCAAGTGATGGGGACCAGTTGGTCATTTTTGTGTTTGAAATGTGATCTGACTACTTTGTAGAAATTCGCATCATAGAGCTGGCAAGTTTCAAGCGGAGCATAGAGCATGAATCTGTAGTTATTTAACATGAATAAAGTGTATGTGACGAAACAGTGCGAGTATTTTTAATTAATTTCTGTTCGATGCTTATTCAGGCCTGCAGCCTATGGACGCCTTCTAATGTTGTACGACACCATTAGCCTGAAGAGGGAATAGGAGGCGCCACGTGTACAGAGTGTGGAGAGTATGCATATTAGCCTTATGCGGGAGGAGGGGGTGTAGAGAGGACACCACACATACTGTATACGCCTTATTTTTCGCGTACAGATATTTTTGCGAATTCAGACTTAATGGACAATTTCGCGAGTGGTTAATGTCGCGGTCGGTGAATTATTAATTATTCGGTATGAATAATTCGCGTGTTGTTATTTCCGTGAAATTCGCGAAAATTAAACCACCACTAAATATACAGCGTATACAGTACCTGCCAGACGGGGTCCTCCTCCTCCGGGTACATCTTGAAGTAGCGTTCAGCCATCATTTGTGGTGTCTCTGTCTTCAGCTGGAGGTTGGTCCAGCACTGTGTGAACTTCACCGCGCTCTCAAACGTGTAGAGCGCCAGCCGGTCGTTGCCATAGTTAGACAGGTGAGTCATGAAGATACTCACCTGGTGCAGGGAAAGATTACGACGTGACGAAAGGATCAACGGATGCTGAGAGGTGGGCAGGTAAAGATATCTACACTCTTATACAGTAACAAGTGCTGCAAAGTCTAGCAGCTTCACAGGTTAAGACACCTGACACTACATAACAGTAAAACTTGAGCAGTGACGCGGGGCTGATGCACGGGTATAACAAACACGCGGAGACCGTAAGCGAACACGACACGAACCACCCGAGCCGGTGTAACAAGATTTACACGCTTCACGCACACACACACGCGTAAACGATCGCTCGCCAATCAAAACAGACAATGGCTCTCGTTTCTCTCCGAGCGCAGCAGTGATGTCATCGCCGTCGTCGCCGTGGCGACCGCATCGCGGATGCCACTCACCGGAGTGCTGAGTATCGTCTGGAACAGCTCTCCTCCTTGGATGCTGTTAATGAGGACCTGCTTGCCGCCGGGATACTGGTCGAGGAACACCGTGTGCGTGAAGAGACCGCACAGTTGCCGTGGCAACACCTGCAACAAGCAGCCACATCATTAACACATACCTCTACGCTCGCCGGCGCCACCTACCCGCGGCGCCACCTACCCGCGGCGCCACCTACCCGCGGCGCCACCTACCCGCGGCACCACCTACCCGCGGCGCACGACGATCCAATGAATCATGACGTTGACTCTCGACCAGTAGCTCCACCTACACTCGGCGGTGAGCGATGCAGCGTGCGCAGGATGTGAGATGCATTACGCGTGTTACACGTGACGTGACCAACGCACATGATAACCTGCCGTCACCAGACCCCAAACGACAACAAGCACAACAACCTACTGTTGCCGTGGCCAGCGCAGTCTCCAGTCGCTGCAGACATGGCCACCTTCCATTACAGTTAAAACCTCGATTATCCGAACGAGACGGGCGCGGGGAGTATATTGTTCGGATAATTGACCTGATCGTATTACCGTTCAATATTCACGGGACCTTGAGATCTTGTTCGGATAATCAGAAATTCGGATAATTGATGTTCAGATAACCGAGGTTTGACTGTACCACAGTGAACACAGCCTCCCGTTGCCATGGCTACTGCCTACCTTGATGCCCTTGTAGATGAAGCCCCGGCGAGCCTGCACGGGTCTCAGGTGTGGATACTCCTCGGTACTCGTTACCTGGATGCCGAGCAGCTTCCGCCACGCCTCGTACAGCGGCTCGTGTACCGGGTAGACGCCTGAGTGATGTGGAGCCACCGAGTAGTTGGTGTTCGTACTAATGTTGTGCGCCTGAGCGACGAAAACGAAAGAGCATCAGTCTGCGTCACCGCGACGACGCCGGCAATCACATGCGTGATTAGTCAGCGCGTTTGATTTTGCCCGATGTCGTTAACGATCATAATTAAGTTCTACACGCTAATTAGCTACGAGTCAAGACAATATCGCATGCGGGGAATGCCCCCCCCCCACTCCTTCTCGCGAAAATTTCCTACAATGACGATATTTCGATCAGAAAAAAACAAGAATCAGTTGCTAACAACAAGTGAACGTCTCTCACGTATAAAACAAGTGAACGTCTCTCACGTATAAAGCAAGTGAACGTCTCTCACGTATAAAACAAGTTTATTTTTAAATAACAATTTATGAAGAGCAATCGGATTGACTGCTAATTAACGAGTCGATGCGAATCATTATGCAAACTTTTAACGACGGAATTAATGACAACGTGAAAACTTCCTACAGGTGGCACTACTAGGCAGGAATTCGCACCCATCTACGCTTCCCAGCAGGTGTCACCACTGCGCGCTACCCCTGGCGCTACCTACCACCGCAAAATCTCGGTTCTGTCTCATCTCGGCTTGCATGGTGGCAACCGTCAGCTGGTGCGGCTGCGCGTGACTCCACATGTGTCCAAACCACGAGAACTCAGAGGACCTCTCTATCAGAAACGACAGCAAGGCTGACGACTGAGTAACCAGGCAAGGCAGGGAAGGGCTGAGGTAGGAAGCAAAGTGGTGGGTAGTATGAGAGTAAGGTAAGACTGAGTAACCAGGCAAGGCAGGGAAGGGCTGAGGTAGGAAGCAAAGTGGTGGTTAGTATGGTACGTCAGTAAAGGTAGGATGAGTGTCAATCTCCTCATCGGCATATGTTGCTCACTCGCGGAAGGACTCTGAGGCTAGGCAAGAAGTGGTCTGGGCTTAGTACATGAGAGTACGGTATGGACCTGATGTAACGCCAGGCTAACGCGCCGGTGAAGGGCTGAGTGCTAGGCAAGCTAAAGCTGGTGGTTAGTATGAGAGTAAGGTAAGACTGAGTAACAGCACAGGCAGGGCAGCGGGGTGAGGTAGGAAGGCAAAGTGGTGGTAGTATGAAAGTACAGGTAAGGCACTGAGTAACACCAGGCAAGGCAGGAAGGGGCTGAGGGTAGGAAGCAAAGTGGTCGGTTAGTATTGTAGAGTAAGGTAAGGACTGAGTAAGGCAGGCAAGGCAGGGAAGGGCTGAGTAGGAAGCAAAAGTGGGTTAGTATGAGAGTAAGAGTAGGACTGAGGTAAGCCAGGCAAGGCAGGGAGGGCAAGGTAGGAAGCAAACGTGGTGGGTAGTATGAGAGTAGGTAAGACTGACGTACCAGGCAGGCAGGGAAGGCTGATGTAGGAAGGCAAAGTGGGTGTTAGTAGAAGAGATACGGTAAGACGTTGAGTAACGCAGGCAAGGTCAGAGGAAGGGCTGAGGTAGGAAGCACAACGTGGTGTGGTAGTGATGGAGCAGTAAAGGCTTAAAGGTCGACTTGAGTAACTGCCCCAGCGTGTCAAGGGGTGCCCAGGGAAGGCTGAGGTAGGCCAAGCAAGTGTTGCGTGGGCTCATCGCTCAATCCGCTACGTAAGGTAGCGACTCTGGAGTAACCAGGCTCACATGCCACGGGATCGCGCTGCAGGTAGAAGCAAAGTGTGGGTAGGTATGAGAGTAAGGTAGGAACTGAGTAACAGGCAAGGCAGGGAAGCGGCTGAGGTGGACCAAAGTCGGTGGGTTCAGTTCCACATAGAGCTTAGCGCAATCATGCTCACTTCTCCTCTCCTCCTCCGTGACGTAACCAGGCATAGGGCAGGAAGGGCTTGATGTCCGGTAACGGCTCTAAAGGTGGTGGGTAGTATGAGAGTAAGGTAGGCACTGTATGCTAACCAGGCAAGGCGGGAAGGGGCTGAGGTAGATGCCAAGCAAAGTGGTGGTGGTACGTATGAGAGTAAGCGTAAGACTGAGTACCCAGGAGCAGAGAAGGCTGGAGGTAGGGAAGAAGTGGTCGCGCTTAGTATGTAGAGGTAAGGTAAGACGCTGAGTACAGCCCCACGGCAAGCGGCACGAGGTAAGGGCTGGAGGTAGGAAGCAAAGTGGTGGCTTAAGTCCTATGACTTGAGTAAGGTAACGACTGAAGCTATAAGCCCGTGTCGCCCCCGGGTTCTCCGCGTTCCTCCTCTCTCCATACGGCATCGGCGATGCGGCTGTAGGTAGGCTCAAGCATCAAGGGGTGGGGCTAAGATCATGCTCACAGTAGTGGAGGCATTCGAGTAACTCCTCCATGCGCATGGCTGCAGGGAAGGTGACGAGGTAGGGAAGCAAAGTGGTGGTTTAGTATGTGGAGTAAGGTATGTCTGCAAAGTGTGGGCTAAAGTATGAAAGGTGCAATGAGAAGTAATAGCTACTAATCAGGAGGACGAGGAAGGGAGGGTACCAACTAAAATATACGGAGGTCCAGGAAGAGGGAGAAGTACACGGTGGATGGAGGGCACAGGTATCGGAGGTAGTTGAGAGAGGTCGCCATATACGAAGGATAGGTGCTTATGGCGAGGGGCAGGTAGGAGGTAGTGAGCAGATGGTGCATGAGAGATTAGTGATACGAGTGTGCATGGAGATAGGATAGGTGCTATGGCGAGGGTGGGTCAGACTATGTCATGATACAAGCGACTGTGAACACATGAAAGCGGATGGTTGAGGGAACGACGTAAACACAGCGGCAGGTGGCTTGGCGTGACAACACAGGTGCTAGCCGTGACAACGTCAGGTGCTCGCCTGTTGACGACGAGGGAGGCAACAAAAGCCGCAGAAGGCAGTGCGGTGCCACCTACCATTCCTGCGCCACAAACAATGCTCTACATCGCCTGTGCCGGCGGTTGATCCAGGGGGCTTGGTGGGTCTCGGCGTCTGGCGCCAGGGGGAGGGCCCCAGGGCTGTTCGAATTCCTCATACACTTCGCGCTCAGATCGTCGGTGTAGGGGGCTGCCTACCGTTCATGCATCACCTCTACACGTACTACCTACTCCACTAATATTAGCATGGCACTAAAGCTGGTAAACCAAGCTTCTTGCTTAGATTGGACTGGCAAAAGTCAATTAAACCACGGTAGCGATTTCTCTAAAAACGAACAGAGACAAATTTTGTTACTGGACTTACGTTATCAGCCTCTGAGAACACTAGGGTCGGACCCCCCCGAGCTACGGCCGGTGTTAGAGGCGATTCTACATATTTTCCAGTTTTTTAAGGACTAGGCTGAGAAAAGGCAGCTTCATTTTTTTCACTAATCGCATAATTTTCGGCTATATGGGAACGGCGGCAATTTCTGCTATTCTCACTGTGAACAATTGACTATGGATTAACAACCGCTCCTTAACACTGAGCGCGCCATTCGAGTAAAGAGCAGGAAGCGGCCTTGCGAGAGTCATTCTCGCAAACCCCACCGGATAAACCGGCGCGTGTTTATAAACTAATGAGCCAAAATTATATCAGCAATTACACGGTCTAGTTGACTTGTCGCAGCGTCCCCTACGAACGCTGAGCCACATGTCTACATAGCTAACATAGCTAGCTAGTTAGTTAGTCTAGTTAGACTGTTAGCGACAGTAGACAGGCTGCGCTGTACGTCTGGCTGGCCCGGTGTAAGCGCCCTCCTGGTGGCACGCCGGCGCGGGGGAGGGGGGGGAGGCGGTACGCGAAATGTGCAAAGTCAGGTTCTTCTGCCATGTGAGTCCTGCGGAGGGCAGCGTGGCCGAGGCGCGAGCTAGGTGGGGGGCTCGTGTGGGACCCACATGTGGCGGGAACCCGACCGAGAAGTTCGTCCTTGCAGCTCTGCAACACAGAAGCGCGGCGGCGACACCGATGATGCCACGCGGTACGCGCACTGACGCGTGCGAGGGAGACAGAAAGCACAGACGAGTGCGCGCGGCTAACTCACATGTCACCGCGCACGCATGCCTGAAGACGCATGGCCGGGAGCGGGGCGGGGGTACAAGGTGGCCGGGGGTACTAGGGCGGGCCGGGGGGCGGGGGCAGAGGGTACCAGGGGCGGGCCGTGGGCGCGGAGCGGCGGATAGACCAGGGGCGGGCCGGGGGTACTAGGGGCAGGCCAGGGGACGGGGCGGGAGCGTGGGCATGGGGTCCCAAGAAAGGCGGGCCCGAAATGCATGGTTAGAGGGGTTGGTTAAAGAACGTCCCTGTTATAAACCCGCGTGTAAGATACCCAGTGTCCACTCCTTCACCAGTGGGAGCTGGGGTACCGGGAAACCAGGGGACGTTGCGAGGTGAAGGGTTTCCTTAAGAGATGTCCCAGTTACACACTAACATCTTGTGTGTAAATCCTTCACCAGGTACCCATGCAACCAGGGCAAGTTTGCGGTGTGTGTGTGGGCGTCAGGCACGAACGTATAGACGCGCACGCACGCACGCACGCACGCACGCACGCACAGGCACCCACTTACACGCGCTCAGGCACGCACGCACGTACACACGCGCACGCACGCACGCATGCATACGCGGTCACCCATGTACACACGCTCAGGCACGCACGTACATATGCGCATGCACATGCAGGCACGCACGTACACGCACGCACGCACGCACACGCACGCACGCAATGATAAGCAAGCAGATGGCGGGCCATTAGCTACGCACAACGTCGTTGGCCGAGAGTAGCAGAGGGAGGAGGCGCGGGAGCATCGAGCGACAGAAGCTGGAGGGACAACAACAACAACAACAACAACAACAACAACAACAACAACAACAACAACACCTCCAACAACAACAACAACAAGTACGAGAGCACGACGGCCATCCTAGGGAACGAGAGAAACAATCGTCAGACAAAAAAAACAAAACGCAACAGGAAACGTTAAAAAATCAATAGGAGACAAAGTGCTGTTCTCTCTCTTACGTTCTCGTGCGACGCTGAGAGAAGGCGGTGTGATGCTAACATGAGTTTATAATAGCTGACTGCATTCACGCAATTAATTAACGGCGACATAATTGGAAATGAGCAAACATTTAAAGTCGTTCTAGAACTTAAACAGATTCATCAATATCAGTGCAGTGCTATTATCCTAATCACAATACAGAGCAAACACCTATAGCGCATCTCTTAACGTACACAATTAAAACCTGGTTGTAATTATCCTACATACCAATTTTTGTTAATTCAAAATTAATGAGAAGTTTGTGAACATGTTCTGTGTGTATTCTGCGTGTAGATCTGTGGCAATATCTGTACTGCCTCGGATGCTGATCACATTGACTGACATTTATAGTTATTAACAAATAAATATTAAATTGTAAAGGATTAAAATATTTTAGATCCTACTATTCGTTTCAGTTAAGCTATGCTTATATACTAAAGCCAAACATGCATGTTAATGGTTAAGTGGGAGTTAGGGTTGAATATAATATTGCTTTTGCTATAAAACTCTTAGCAAGTGACACGTGTGTATCGTGAAAAAATCGTATACAATTCGACTAATGACTGTATGAAATATCTGCCATATCCACAGAAGGCAGTATTATTACCATTATATAGTTGAGGCATAGTTTTACTTATGTCTAAAAACTTATGTCTAAATTGGTATGTAGCATAAATAACCCAAAAACTAAAGATAGTTATAAATGCTGTAGTATTGTTGACTTTTAGCATTATTATCATGATCACCATCACCATCACCACCATCATCATCATCATCATCATCACCATCACCATCACCATCACCACCATCATCATCATCATCATCATCACCATCACCACCCCCATCACCATCATCATCACCATCATCACCATCATCATCATCACCATCATCATCACCACCACCATCACCACCATCATCATCATCATCATCATAACCATCACCACCCCCATCACCAT